AGGCCATATAATGATGAGATCTAATTTAAGCTAATTCTTACTGATGGAAAATAATTAATTCACGTTTCTGTATAAAAAATAATTGGGAAACAGTATAAATCACAGAAAATAAAGAAATTGAATTATTAATTCAATACACCCGATAATTGTGAATAAATGTTCATGTTCAGTTTAATTCATACATGTTCGTGTGAAACCCTTCTTCCTTCAATAAATAATCATTCAATTTGTTTCAATGCGCGTACTGCTCATAAATTACATTTGCATACATGTAAGGAATCCTGGCATACTACCCAGAATCAATTTCTACTGCCCTTGATAGTTCCATTGTTTATTGCAAATCTCATTTCTGAGTTAGCTCCGCCCATTAAATTAATAAACCCCGCCCAATGAGACTGCTGGAGCTGCTCTCTGGGATCGACCGCTGGGACTGCTGGGACTGTTGTGGGACTGCTCTGGGACCGCTGTGGGACTGCTTTAGCAGTCCCAGAAAGCAGTCCCCGGGACTGCTCTGAAACTGCTTTGTGTCAGGTTGGGTCTGGTCGGTACTGTAGATACTGCAGCACAAATGTCTGTTACATGTATTAGTGCAATCTTTACAAGAAATTTATTCCTATTCCATAGGTCAAAAGTCATGTTCTCTTAAAAATGTATAATCAAAATCAATTAAGATTCGAAGATCTGCCAGAATTTGACTTTATCATTTAGAAAAATAACAAGTAGAATACAAAAAACTTCAATCAATATAGGCCTTGATATTCTTAGAACACAACACGGCAAGTATAAATTTAAAAGATGTTTCTTTGACCATTAGATATTGCAAGATGTGTTACAAATGAAACGGAAGAATTTTGTAAAGTTGAAATGAAAAGAAAGTTTTGATTCCAGATAGATTTATATTATTTTCACTCATGTTAAATTGACAAATTACCTGATTTTGTGATAGTTAAAAGTCATTGTAAGATTCAAAAATGCTGTTGTCACCACATTGTGTCAATGAAATGAGATTTTCATTCTAAGGAACAACCCAACATACAGATTTATTACTGTTAAGAAAAATTCAGATGTGAGTATTGAAAGCAGTAAGATCAAGTTATTGATTCGGATCTTTAGAAGTTGACAATATAAGTGTAAACCAAATTAAGAAATCATTTCAAAACACTTAACAGACATATTTGAAACATAAATCTAAAATCTTATAAAAAAAGTATAATGTATTTGAAAAAAATTATAATTTCGTATCAATAGGTTTTTGCAAAAAAGAAATTGATATAGGTTCGTTTCATTGACATACAACATAAAATTGGCAAAACCAATCCATCAAAAGTAATGAAGAACTGTATATTGCTTTGAAAAGGAGAAAAAAGACACTTAGATCAAATGTTTGAAAAGCGTATGATTGAACAATCTTCATCCGACTGAGTAATTGTTTGGAAAAAAGGATAGCCGTTTATGATATTGCATAGACTGTAGAGCTTTAGACAAAGTGTCTACCAAAATTACTTTTTCTCTACCTAATATGAACGTCCATATAGAATCAATAAGGGATATTTATTTTTGGAGTACCATTTTCATGCGAGCAGCATATTTGAAATGTTACTGTTTATCAAAATGACAAACAAGAAAAGCTTTGTCACAAAGTATAGCCTATTCGAGCACTAAGCACTAATTAGGCTGTTTGTCTTTGTAATAGCCCAGCAATATTTAGTCGGGTAATTCAATTGCTATTACAAGTTTTAACATTAACTGTTTTATCAAGATGATATTTTAGCATTTGGTTTTGATTTTCTTTCATCTTGAAAGAAAAACAAAAAAAACAAGAGGATGCGATTTGGTACTTATATGCACATTCACATTAAACAGAAAGTGTAAATTACTATGAGGTTTGTATTAAATTAACAAACGGCACATGTGATGGCCAGTGCACAGTTAGGACAATAATATTCAAGAACTTTAACGAATCAAAATTTTGATAGTCAAAATTTTGAAGACTTACACGATCCTAATGACATTCTTGATACTTTCTATATAATGTTTAATAATGTCCTTGACAAACATGCCAAAATAAAATGTAAGAGAGTTAAAAGTGAAACTAGACCAAAGTGGCTAACTAAAGAAATAAACGAAGCTAGGCATTTACGAGATTTATATCACCGTAATAGGGATTATGATAATTTCCGTATATGGAGAAATAAAGTTGTACTCTTGATAGACAGTGCTAAAACTTTGTATTACAAATCAGCCATCGAAGACAGTTCAAATCCAAGAGAGATGTGGGGATATCTTAATCAATTGGCATCTAAATCTAAAACCTTAACTCCTTCCCATATCATTCATAATGACTCAGAAACTAAAAATTCACAAGATATTGCTAATATTTTTAATGAGCACTTTACAGGGATTTCAAATAAACTTTTACATAATCTACCAAACTACAAATTCGATCCAGAATTGTTAAGACAATTCACAAAATCTAAACTTGGTGATGACAACTTTTTTAGCCATAAACCAATTAGTGAAACTGAAGTATTTGATTCATTGAACGGGCTAGACGTCAATAAATCTGCAGGCACTGACTTCATTGGACCTCGTCTCCTAAAACTATCAGCTAGTATTATTAGTAAATCATTAACTCATTTAATGAACGCTACTATCAGCAATGGTAGTTTTCAATCAAAGTTGAAACAAGCAAAAGTCACCCCTGTATATAAAAAGGGAAGCAAAACAGACCCCAGTAACTACCGTCCCATTTCTATACTTCCAACATTTTCTAAAAAAAAAGCACAAAGCAAACCAAATACGAGATTTCACCTCCACTTTTGATCTTATAACAAAATCTCAATCTGGATTCAGAGAATTTCACTCTTGTAAAACAGCACTAACCAAATTAACAGATGCTTGGTTGCATGCTATGGACGAAGGTAATATAATAGGTATAACATTTTTGGATTTTAGCAAAGCGTTTGATTTAGTGAGTCATGATGAAATACTGATAGAAAAATTAAAGAATTTCAACTTTGATGAATTATCAATTAAATGGTTTCACTCATATCTGTATAACAGGACACAATGTGTAAAAATTGGTACAACTTCTTCTGATGTCTTACCTGTCACAGCAGGAGTGCCACAGGGATCAATATTAGGCCCCCTATTGTTCTTGTTGTATATTAATGACCTCCCCTTACATGTAAGTCATTCAAATATCGATATGTTTGCTGATGATGCAACTCTACATGTTTATGAGAATAATATATTTAGTATTGAAACAGCTCTAAATTCTGATTTAGTAAATATTGAAAAATGGTGTTTAGAAAATCAAATGGCTCTAAATGTTGATAAAACAAAATTTAAGCTGATGGGTACTAAACAAAGGAAATCAAAATTAGATAATCAAAATCTCAGTTTACATATCTCTGACAAACACCTCACCAATGTTGAAACAGAAAAAACTACTTGGGGTACATATAGATCAAACACTGAACTTTCATGATCATGTAGACTCGGTCTGCAAATCATTAACATATAAATTGTTTACTTTGCGGAAAATCCATAAATTTTTTCCTTTGAAAACCAGAAAACTTTTTTACAATGCCTTTATCCTGCCTTCTATTAATTATTGTCTGACTATCTGGGGTAATGCACCACATAGTTACATGGAGAGAATCCATAAGCTCCAAAAACGGGCTGCTAGAATTTTACTTGATGCTGCCCCTGATGCTCCTTCTAAGGCATTATTTGAAAAACTAAGGTGGCTATCTGTTTTTGACTTAGTAACTTTGCATAAATGTATTTTGCTGTACAAGATATTTAACAATCCGAGCCCGGCTTACTTGCAAGATTTATTTATTTCTCAAACTTCTAATGCTTATACTTTACGTTCAGAATCTAATTTTGACCTTCGCCTACCAAAACACCGAACAAATTTATTTAAAATTGCACTTCAATATTCCGGTGTTCATATTGGAACAATTTACCTATAGATATAAGATATGCGCCAACTCTGCCAATCTTTAAACGAAATGTAGAAAAGTATATCTTCAACAGCAGAACTTGATTACTTTGAATTATGTATATCTTTTGCACATGTATATAATTATACATTGTTAAATCTTACTCATGTGACATTATACATGTATTACTTTTTATGTCATATAAATATATCTGTTTATTATTTCTATTTTATTATGATTATCATTATTATCATGTGACATTGTGTATATACGTGTATTATAATTCACTTTCTAAATTGTTCATCTTTGCTAATTTGATGTAATACTGTTGTTGTAATTAGAAGGCCCTGAGGAAGAATAGTGTGTCACACTAATCAGGCCACCTTCTCTAAATAAAGTATTATTATTAATATTATTATTATTATTATTCCGGTTATCCATTATAAAGAATACACATGGATGTTTCAGGACCTTTATCTGAAACATAGAGAGGAAATAAATACATGTTAATGACTGTTAACCAGTTTAAAAAATTAATTGAATGTTTCCCTTTACTCAATCAAAACCCAGAACTTACAATTGCCAAGAATTTTGATTTTGATTCACTTTGTATATTAGATTGGATATTGTCAGGGACTCTGCTGATAGGGTGGCGCTTTATTGAATCTAGTGAAAATGCATCATTTCTTTGAAAATGTTATCAATATCTAGGAAACAAGGAATGTATGTAAAGATCTAATAAGCAAGGGTATTTAACTAGATTTTTGAAATTTGCATCATTTTTTTACATTTGTTTGTTGTTATTCTACTGAAAGAAGTAGTTTTGAAAAAAATGAACCTGGGCCTCCTAATCACGAACGTCCTACCACTAGCCAGGCTACTGTTATCGGTTGTAATTTTTAAAATAAAGATGGGATCAGAGGCCATGGAGGATAAAGCACTCCGTTGAGATTGGTCACACCTACCATGTGCTACTTATCATGATAAGATGAAGGAGAAAAAAAAATCCAAAGCCAATTCCTTGTGAAAATATTGCCTGAATGATAATTGAAGTTGTGCATGTACAATTAACTAACTACGCATGGAATCATATTTAACTTCATTTTTTAGACTTTGTGCATTACTCCCTAATTAACATATTTATAAATGTGACATGCTTATGATACCCAGGTCATGACAGAGTCCTGCAATCTGAACACACAAGATGTCATTGTCAGAGATGTTGAGTTCTGGCTGTCGTTTTCTTAGCATGGACACAAATTCTCCTGCCAGATAACACACTCTGAAAAGAGAGAAACATTGAACTTCCAGATGTCTATAATTTTCTGGTCTGAACAGGTGAATAATCATTTAATTAAAAATATGAAAACAACGGAGCTCTGTTTGTGGATTTATCATTTTAAAGGACCATGTTGTCCGTTATAGTAATGAACGATGGCATGTGTCCTTTATTTAAGTTCACCAGAGTGACTAACAGAGTCATATTAATCGCATTGTACGTTCCGATAAATATGGAGCTCGAAAATGAGTCGAGAAGCAGGTTTGCTTTTGACCTTTCGCTATCATTTGAAGTGGATTCTGAAATACTAATGTATGCTGCAGTCTTTATGAGTAAAATGTATGTACTATCTTTGATAAACAGATTAGAAATAAATTTAGTATGTTAACTCTACAATATCCAGAGGATAGAATAGGACTATTGTAAATGAGTGTAGCTAAAATTAATTATGAATAAAAAGATGTGCATGAATATAAAAGATTTTTATACACACCCCAAAGAATGTTCAAATCTGTTGTGAGATGCTCCAGGATATACATAATATTTTGCACCCAGCTGTTTCAGATACCGCAGTCTTTGAAACTGCTGTGTGTCAATTATTTTCACGCAGAGGGGATGGATTTCAAAGTGGCCATGAATTGGATCATTCACAATCTAAACAAATGGAAAGTAAATTAATTGTTTCATCTTGTTTTATTTTAGATAATGAATCACACAGTATGTTGATTATCACATGTACTATTTACTTCAAGTCAGATGCTTACATATTTGACAATTCATTTCAGTCTGAAGATTTTTCTTACCTTGCAAGTATAAAGGCCTTCCGAAATGTCCTTCAGTACATTTATGGCTGGACGGCTAAAAAACCCAAAACAATTATAGTTAAACAGACTTCCCTGTTAGACTGCAGCTGCGTATCCTGTTTTTTACCTGGTACCGGATTGTCAAGCATAAAATTTGTTTTTCGCTTAACTCGTATCACTTTCAGATTTTGACCTTATAGTTTTCGTCGGTTTCAAATTTCAAGGCAAAAACTATTTTGATATTATGTATTCAACCTCATAAGACTTCCATTAACTGTTCATTTTGGGAAAAGACCACATCATTAAGACACTAGAGGGCTTAAACAACAATAATTAGAAACTGCTTTCTTCATTCACAATTTTGACGTTCTTTTTTTGTCCCGAAATTGTTTACCAGTACCAATTGTCCCTACACGCTACAAGATTACAGATGCCTATTGCATGCATTGCTGATGACAGGACTGGAGAACTACATACTAGACTTTTAGCTCTAATTGGAATGAGACTCAAGACAATACAAGTCGTCGTCACATTGAGAAAAGATTAGTCAATGTTTAAAAATCCTTGGCTCTCTTTAATAGGCCAAAGTGTAACGGAGGCAGAACCCGCTTACTAAAGATTCTTCATCCTTTCAACCATTGGCATTATAAACAACACCACTTTAACAGGTCGGAGAGAATACTCGAAATCGGGTATTATCCGTGAAATCGCGTATAATACTCGATATTAGGGTATCGTTGAATCCGCGAAATCGGGTATTCCGTGCAACTTTCTATAAAAACTAAAGAATAAAGGAACCGCGCATTATGCCAGTAACTGTTACTTGTACATCAGTATCTTGTGAATTTATTTTTATTAAACCTAATTCATAAGGTTCTCAAATAACTTTAAAATCACACAACAAACACTGCTGGGGTAACAAAGAGGACACAATGGCGTTATTATTTTTCAATATAATTTCTAAAAACAAATAACTACACTTCGTTTGTCTTTATTTCCCATTAAAGTATTCCATATACTTAATTTTCTAATTTGTGCACTATTCACAAAACGTGAAATTTTAAAGAAATTAAACGACTTACGCCGTGTTATGTATTTTTACTGAAAAATGTATGGAGTCCCTTTCTCGTGAAATATAAATTACTCCTAACAGTTAGAGAGTACAGTAAAAGCGAGTCGTAATTGTATATCTCTGCCATTATAGAATACCAACGTTATTATAAAGAAGAAAATAAAATAAGATGAAATAAATACCCACGGGAAAACAGTTTGAAAATAGCTAATTGAAGCGGAGTATCTTTTTTATGTCAATTTAGCATGAAATGTTTAATTCAAAGACACCGTAAATTTTTTGGTTGCATTTTAATCGATAAAAAACATACTATTTTACCTTTATTTTATGCACTTTGTGAAAATTGAGAGCGAGAAGTCATATGAACAGGATTTTCGTGTTTTTTTTGAAAGGGGGGGGTTAAATAAAAGTCAAATGTGTACATCTTTTCACGAGGTTAAAATACATGGAATTTCTCAATACAGATCGAGGTACAGTCATATTGATATATGAATTACATAGTCAAGTTTTCACATTTCTTATAGTTTTTACGTTTATGAACATGTTAATGAGCAATCTGAAATAATGGAGTGTTCAATTGCCTTGGAAACTCTTGTCTTACTTTTTGGGAATATAATTCCTCATCGGACATTAAAATTTCATAAAAATCGTAGTCATTTCCTTTCTTTATCATAGACGTCGGAACCGGGGGGGGGGGGGGGGGGGCTAGGGGGGCTTAGCCCCCCCCCCCCACTTTTTTCCAAATATATATTCATTGAACCTTGTTACATAGGTAAAGTCCCCCCCCCCACTTTCCACAGGCACCTCGCAGTATAGGCTAAAAATGGGTAAAGTTTTGGTGTTTGGAGAAAAATTTAGGTACTAAAGTTCGGACCTCCCCCCCCCCACTCTTCCTTACGATTAAAAATATTTAACCGACCGACCATGTATAACACAGTCGAGGTTGTTTTGTAAGAGGTGGTCAAGAAGCCTTTAGCCCCCCCCCCCCTTTGAAGTCGCCAGGAAATGGTAAAATATTGATGACTTAACGAAATTAAACGATCAACAGTTATGTTCTCTCATAAATTGTATTCCTGAAACTTTCACTGTCTCTGCTAAAATTTTGAAGACATATTCTGCAAATATGTTTGAATGATAAATAAAAAAGAAAAGATTTTCAAAAAAAGAGAAAGAGGGTTCTTTTAGCCGAAATTTTAGACATTGTTATCATTACATTATTTATACATTCAAAAATAAATTTGATTTTATGCACAAGATGAATGTGAAAGTAATTAATGACGCATAATTAGATAGAATAGACAATCTCTTGTTTATACATGGCATCATATCTGGTGTGTGAAATGTGTTTCCGTATAATTTGATTTATTTACATATTGTTCATGTTTGTCGTGTTGATGTGGAATTATTATAAATTCCCGAATTCTGATACTTTACAATTCTGTTGTGCTGGGAATGATCATTAGGAAGATGCATATACTTTCAACATAAGGTAAAATATAAAGCAAATCGAACGCCTTTTTGTGTGCAGATCATGAAATGTACTGAGCTCCACGGGTATTTGTTGTCCCGAGCGCATTAATCTTGACGCCAAAATTCTTACTTGGCTAGTAATATCTTTAGAAAACATGTGTATCTAGATGAAAGTTAACTTGGCAACATGCGCCATCCCATTCTTTAAGTTTTATTAGGTGATTACACCTCCTATACCCGATTTCGCGGATTCAACGATACCCTAATATCGAGTATTATACGCGATTTTACGGATAATACCCGATTTCGAGTATTCTCTCCGACCTGTTTAAATCAGAATTACAACAGATATGAATCTCAATTTGCAGCGTTCCTGATAGATTAGAATGATGTTTCCATTTTATGCTTCCCTTGGGAGAAGATGCATGGTTTAAAGGAGATCCATTTTGGTGGTAAATTGGCCTTATGTCACTGTTTAAAGCTTTGGTTCCAACCGGGCATAACTGGAGATATTAAGTTCTTTTAGCTCTTTCTTTCCTTGAAGCTCAAACCAATACTTACGAATACCAACCTTCCATTTTCAATTTTCAACAATTCTCACTCATATAATTGAAAACTTTATTTACAAAGAAGTAAGGGAACAAACAATGCAACATCACCTCCTTTCTTCTTAAAAAATAAATTAAAAGAAAGAATTTAAGCAATTTTTCTGTGAGATTCAAAAATAAATGTAAGAAAAAATGCATGTTCATGAATCACATTGAGACCGATTTTTATTTGAAAAGGCGCGTTCTTGGAACATCGTCCATTTTTGTATTTAAGAGCCAGAATGTACAAACAGAACAGAGAGTAGGTTCAATAAATGTGTGGCACATGTATATTGTCACACCCGCAAAACGGATGGTCTGAAACCTTAAATTAGCGTTTAAGGTAAAAAAAAATGTACAGAAAGTTTATTTTCATTCAAATACTATTTATGCATTTAGAGATTTTAATTAACTTTCTTGCACAGTAAGGGATATTTTAGGAAAAAAAAGAGATTAAGCTTCAAATGATATAACAATACTGTATTGGAAGGCACTTTCCATTGCGAAAATCTTTTAATATTTATTCATCCAGACGTGTAAGTTAACATAAAAATTATTCATTTTTCGAAGTAATTCATAAGTTGTCAATTACATTCAATATCTTGATGAACTATCAAAATTATATAATTTCTCTTTAAATAAGATTATTTTGATAGTCACAAATCAATTTGTAAAACGAACTATGGTCATGGAATGGCAAAATGATGGAATTTTAAGATAACGAAATAGGGTACAGAAACATGCAATAATAAAACAAGCAAACCTAATCCCACACTGTTCCAATTCTTCAGTCGTCGTGTCAAGTACCGTACTGGGAGTCAGACCATTTTCTAAAATTGAGGACTTTATGAATCAGTTTACTTTTTCTCATAAAGGTATAATTTTTTTCATAATTAACTGTTTATTTTAAATTATGTTTGAAAAATTAAAAACAATATTAGATATGCTAAATAAAGTTTTAGAATTTCTTTACAAATTAAAGTCAAATAAAATAAAAATCATTTGTTATAACGCAAATATATATTATTGACACAATAATGGCGAAAAAGATCTAACCGTTAATAAAATGATATTTTTCACTCCCAAAAGAAGACATTTCTTTTATTTAATTCAAACCTGTCAACTTTTCAACTTCATCTTTAAATCCCCTTTTTTTAAGAATATCAAAACAATTTCCACAATTTAGATCATCAGGAGAGATAACCCGGTCTTGGGTTGGAGGGGGGTTGTGCTCTTCGCTTTTTGCCTCCACTGTGTCACTTAAATTCATTTTTCAGGGGACGCTCGACTTCTAGACTAGAATATGCTATGACAATTCTTTTGTGCGTATTCTTCTTCCTTGCTATTGTTTCTAGATCAAGAGGTCCATCTAAAATTAAAAAATAAAATAAAACTATCATAAGTATTTACAGGTAAGTTCTTCCGTCTTTAAAGGAAGATTTATTTTCCAGTACGCGGGAGACCCATGTGTTATTCTTATGTGTCCTTCAAATTATTTTAAGGTTTTCGTCGAAACGTCTTGCATTTATTTTACAGTTTCCTTTCAACTTACTATTGAGTTTTTCCGTTTTCTATTAAACACCTTTCTCGATTCTCATGTGTATTTTCCATTATTTTTACGTTTTTATCGCTGTTTTAAGTTTTCAACAGAAAACATAGATCAGCTCCTCTGAGCCGAAGGGTCAATTGACCCTTTTTGATCGCAATTTGTCCCCTGTCTGTCGCTGTAAACATTTTACATTTTCATAATCTTCTTAAGAACCACTGTGCTAGAAAAACTTATGTGGAAACATCTTCAGGTAGTTTAGATTCAAGCTTGTTCAAATCATTACACCCGGGAAAACGGTAGAGCCATAGTGGGCAATGAAAGTTGTATATAGGAATTCATAGAGAAAATCTTTTTCTCAAGAACAGCAAAGCCATGGCAGTAGTATGAGCAGCCGAGCCGGGAAGGTTAACTCAGTGCAATTTGCCCCCCCCCCCTTCACTTAGATCCTGGATAGGGAGGTCAACGGATTACAGCCTGGGGGGATAGTGAGGTCAACGGAGTATAACCCTGGAGGGAGATGTGGTGGGGGGGGGCAAGTGAGAGGGGAATAAGTGATTGAATTTTCTTTAGATTGGCGCCTAGACCTAAAGCATTATAACTATTTACGTTTGTGCTACGTGTTGGCATCGATACAAATTTTATTTACAGCAAGTGTCTATATTTTTTGAAAACAGAAAAAAGACAATAGCAATAACACAATGTATAGGATTTATTCAAATTAACACATACAGAATTACTTTTTTTTCTTCTGTACCTTTTCAGTCTGGGGAATTTTCTCTTGTGTTTGCTGGGAGTCTCTCTGTGTTGCTGATTGGTGGTCTGGTATCCTGAGGTCTTGTATTCCCGAGGCTTTTTCTCCAGTTTTTATACTTCTTTCACTAATTGTTGATCAATTTTCTAGTCTCTTATTAGCCTAATGTCCTAATTCATCGCACTTGTTGCACAAATTCTGTTTATTTCTGGGACAGTCTGGGGTCTAATGCCCTAGCTCTCTACATATGAAGTATGGGTCCGTCTTTTTCTTTATAGATTCCTTGTCTTCTTTTGTCTGGTGGTGACTTTGACTTCTAATCATGACAACCTTCCACAGATCAAAGAAAATTCACTGGTGTTGTAGTTCTTCAGGTCAGTAAGCATGTTGACTCAGGCATTGTTGGTAAAGCATTACTTAGTCCTTCATTTCCAGTCGGAACATATTCTCCCCCGAATTCATCATTGCCTGTGCCTTATTTCTGCGTCTGTCAAGTTCGAGGGGCCTAAGAAGACCCTAACCTTCCAGTCCGGGTTCAGCGTAGATGGTGTTTTACAGGATTATTTAATGGACATGCCCATACAGAGTATAAACATTGAGATCTGATCAGTTTGACTTACTTTTATTTATTTTTATGAAGATCATTTATCTGCATTTAACCATGATGACTGTGTCATACTTAATGTGACTTAAAGGTACTTTGACACAGATTTGAAGTAAATATTTTTTCTATAATATTACGACTTATATATTCTATAGCATTTCACACAAAAAATACCTTAAATCTGGAAAGGATAAATTTTTAGCAAATTTGCGAGTTCAACGCATTCGCAAAAATATTTTTCTTAAAAATAAATTACCAATAAGAAAATGTAAACAAAGCAGTGTTCATTCACAAAATTTTGAAACGGAAAAATTACGCGGGTATGTTAAGGCAGCACATTTCGGCAAATTAACACTTTTTTATAATTATGTAACACTAATAAATCGGAAAAGTCAAGCATAAAACTTTTGTTATAATTATGCATTCTATAGACTTCAATGGGACTTATACTACATGAAGCACTTCACCACGACGTCACCACGTGACGTCTATAATTAGAAAATATGCCTTAATGAAAAAGTGAAAAGTTCAACACTACCCCGGGGATAATTAATTTCAATTTGTAATAATAATTATGTAAAAACATATCTGTATCATGAAAAGTGCTGCTAGAATCCTACTGTCCTATCACAGAAATAATTATTCAACACTTTCTGACGAAACCTTACCAAAATTTTTACATTTTGCTAATAAAAAAAATGCATTAATTCCCGTAAACCATACGGTTCTAGCAGCAATTTCCAAAAACAATAGCATAAGAACTTTAGATGGAAACAAAAATTCAGTTTCAAAGTGTGCGGCGTAGTGTTGAACTTTTGCATCTTATTTGTTACGAACGACAGAGGAAAGGCTGATCGGCAAGTAAACACCCTCCCTGCATTAATTTTACGAAGAAAATGTAGAAGTATATTACCATACCTTATTCATAAGCTTTATTCCCAAATGAATCACACATGATATTCATTCTAAATGCTTTTAAACTCCGATTTCTTGTGTTTGTTTACATGAATTCTCGTTACGTTTCACTTTCACTCTGCTACTGCATGATCAACAGTTATGACGTCACGGGTTTGGTATTTAACCCCTGTGATAACTACAGAGACCCAGATACGACAAAATTCTGTTTGAATTATGCCTCTGCATATTTTGATCAATTTTTATGACCTCAATTCAATCTTAGATATCGATTATAAGAAATTTTTATCTCTAAACTTCACGTCATATAGCTTACTATGACGTCATATCATATAGGCAAGTAGAATATTTGGTTGTATCCTTAACCTACCTGCGTAATCAACAGCATTTTGACCCGAATTCGCAAAATAAAATCGACGTAAAAATAAGAATAAAAAATCTTATTTCATTTAAAAGTTATTTATATTTTTAATTTTTTGGCGGGTTTGATTGACAGGGTAAGGGTTAGGGTTGACTTTCACAAATTTTAACTTTAACTCTTGTTGAGTATTAATGAAAAATATTAATATTATGTTCCAGAAAATTCAGTGTAGACATGTTCGAAAGCAAAACAAACACACAATATACTGTCAGTCCGTGCAGTTGTGGTGAGCAGACTTTGGCGATTAAACGCACCCGGTGAACCAAAACACCAATCAATAACAGAGCTTTCGCCCTGTTTACAAAAACTGTACATAACACGAGTGTGCTCGATTTGCTAAACTTTGTACAAAACGGAATGACGATACTTGTGAAGGAGAATTGCTTTCTAACATTTCTACTCTGAATAAAATTATTTTTCTGGATTTAAGTTTTGATGTTTCGCATTAATACACAACAAGATTGCTACTTTTCCTAAGGATTAAGAATAAAGTTTAAATTTGTGAAAGTGAAAGGACGTGTCAATCAAACCCGCTAAAAAATTAAAACTTTTAATAACTTTTAAATAAAAATAAGATTTTTAATTAATGTTTGTGTGAAATGCTATTAAAATATATAATTCGTGATATTATACAGAAAAAATTAACTTCAAATATGTGTCCAAGTACCTTTAATGTATTTAACAGTTCATATACGCACAACCTTATTTAGCCTCAGATATACTAAGAAAAGTCTATTATTTAAAATAAGTTTTAAGTCATTTTTTATAAGTTAAAAATTCATCACACTGTGAAAGATATTATACTTCCATCTGATTGAAGAAGCTATGTCATGCTAAGGGTTCTCCATCATTTGAGATTTTACTGTGTTGCAGAGTTTACGCGAAGCACTATTTTTTAGCGGTATTTTCGCGAACAAATTCGCATTATAATACAAAAGATTACAAGCACGCACTTATTTAAAAATCGCAAAATCGTTACTTAAATGGTATGGTCGTACATACTAATAAAAGTAAAAAAAAAAACGTTTTGAAAATTCTGACCGATAGTCAAATTACTTAACATTTTTGAAAAGAGATTTGCCGTGTTTATTTATCAGATTTCTTGATCGAGTTACCGCATTACAAAAAAGGAACTTCAAAACAGTAAAATATTTAAAGAGTTCCTGGAACATGCTAAAATTTCAAAATTTTCGGCAATTTATTTATATCAATTAAATAATTTCGGTATGATGTTATGTTTGATTTACAGTGCTTACATAATTCTAGAGCCGTTGCTATTTAGGAAAGACATATTTAAATATTTTACTTAAATAATACAATGTATTTTATTGCAAGTACTAATTAAGCGGAATATTGAATTGTAAAAACAACTTATTTGACTTTGTTCCGTCATTCGTAAAGTCCGGCGAGGGTCTAGTAGATGATTGATTACTCAAGGTGAAGCCCTAGTAATTAAGTGTTATAACTTTTTGAATTGAAAGACGGTAGAATTGTTTGATTAAAGTTTCAGTTAGAGAGAACTTGTGTGTTTAGATTTTCTAATTATCACAACTCTTACTGTGTCGGCAAAATTTTTACTGTTTCGCATGCATGAAATTTGAATCGTTACTGTGTAGGAGAAAATTTCACTATGTCGGGAGCAACACAGTAAAACAGCTCATGGAGAACCCTGCATGTTCTGTAGTTTTTATGCTGTCAGAAATTATTAATAGTTTCATTTTCACTTTAGATTCTAAGAAATTAACTGGCTTTCAGAAGATGTAGGACTACATGCTTGTACATTTTTACACACTATACAATCAGTCAACCCTATTTAACAAAATTGAATCTGCTGTTAAGAAAACAGTCCTTTTATG